TTCCCTAGTCCTTGTTTCTCTCCTGACCCTGGACACTTTCCCCTTGACATCCCCCAGGCTCCTGCCACCTACTGGGTCCCACACTGGCCTCAGTGTCTCTCTATACTTATCCCTTTTCCTAGACCCCCTTCTCAGGGGTATCCACACTGTCACCCCATCCCTCCCTGGGCCTCAACAAGGTCACTTCTCTCCCTCCCCCGCCCACCCCATGACCTGTCCACTTGGTCCCCTGACCTCAGTCTCCCCTTCTAATGAACCCTCCACAAGGTGGCCAGGGGAATCTTCCTAAACCCAAACCTGACCCTGATCCTTCCCTGCTTAGAACCCTCCACGACTCTGCAGTGCCCCCCTGGGGCAGAGTCTGAGTGTTTCAGCCTGGTGTTCACAGGCCTCCATGACCCTGCCTGCTCCTTCCTCACCATCATTTTGTTGTGGTCAGGACCCCTTCACTTTTCCACCCACGATTTTTGGGGCATTTTTGGCATCTGGGGGGCCGTCTTGTAAAACTCCCTCCTTGGTTCAAAACCCTCCCTTGGCTCCCCATTTCCCTCAGAGCAAAAGCCAAAGACCTGCCCCCCTCCCGCCCCCGCCTTTGCTCTCATCTCCTCACACTTTCTAAGTCACTCGCTCTGCTCCAGCCACACTGACCTCCGTGCTGGCCCTTGAACACTCCGGACAAGGCTTTCACCTCTCTGCTGTTTCAAAGCTATTTCCTTTGTCAGATTTGCTGTTCCCTCACTTATCCTCATCGCTCTCTCCCTCACCTTGCCTCACTCCTGATCTCCCTACCTTCTCCTGTTTCGTTTTATTACCACTTATAGCATTTAAAATCTCACGTCATTTTAGTATTATTTTGTTGTCTGGATTCCATGCCTCTCCCACCACCCTTAACGTGCCAGTCCTGGGTTCCCATCAAGCTTGGCCCCAACCCAAAATGACTTCCTCTCTCTCAGATTCAGTTTCCCCACCTACCACATTTCCCACGTCCTAGGATTATTGGGATACAGTGACTACGAGGACTAAAAGCTTTCCTGTACTTCAGGTGCTCAGCAAATGCTGGACTCATGACCACTGCGAGAAACGGGGAAACGGAGAAAAGAGTCCTTCTTTGAGTCACACGGCTCGGGATCCCCATGTCTTACCGCACCCCACGACTGCCTGAGTCACCACCATTCAACCTCAAAGCTATCCTGAACACACACCGGGAGGGTATCAAGGTGGCAGGAATCGCTCGATGCCTGACAGCGATAGTCAGATGGGCTGCGGGGAGAAGTTGCGTAGTCCGTCTTATCGCGATAATGCTGTCTATAGGGACTCCCACCCCCTGATCAGTCCGGTGCTCCCCTACAGGCCCCGGACCTCGGGGTCCTCACCTGATTTCTCCACTTTCACCTTCACCGGGAACATGGTTGGGGTCTGGGGTCTGGCTAGCTGGGTCAGAGAAGCCCAAAAGAGCCTACGGTCACAAGTCAAGGCCAGAGGCAGACGGGGAGAAGTCAAAGGTAAGCTTCGTGTGTGGCCAGTCCTCCGCCCTGAGCAGCGTCCGGCCGCGACGGCCGCGGAAGCCGCCACCTCCTCCAGTTCCCCTTCTGTGGGCGGGCCCTTCGGCAGTCCCTTGTTTCCATTAGTCAATGTAACCGTCAATCTCGCACCCTGGCCAATTCACAGCTGACGCTGTCGGTTCCCAGCTCTAAGTCCCACCTTTCCGGGGGGGGGGTCCAGGTTTCCGGAAACAAACCAACGATATCCCAGGGCGCTTCCTGGGAGGTGTAGTTCTAGCTCCCGAGACTCAGACGAAGTAAGGGCGCCTGCGCCGCGCGAGGGAGGCTGGGAGACCAAGGATCAGAGCGTTGTGAGGCTGCTTGGCACTTATAGTATTAGAAGCTTTGAGCAACACAAATTTGGCTATTGAACAGGAGTTATTTAACCGTGGGAGTCTCTCTTGGTCCCTAAGAGGAAAACAGTTCTGGGGTTAGGCTGGGTTCCCTCTTAACTAAGCACTCACTAGGTGCCAGCTACCTGTTAAACTCTTTTCACGTGCAGCCTCATTCACTTAGCAAATATTAAGTACCTGAGCCAGGTACTCTCCTAGGTATTGGGGACACCGCGGTGAACAAAATGGACAAAAATCCTTGCCCTAATGAGCTTATATTTTAGAGGATGGAAGACGAACAATAAACAAGTAGAACATTTTAAATGAAATGTAAGAGGAGAAAGGATACAGCCTGAAAGAGACATACGGAGTGTGGTGGCCCGAGCGCGGGTTGGAAAAGAATTTCCAGACACAAGGCAGAATGTAAGGAAGATGGAGTTTATTAAAGAGAAGGGTCGCTGCAAGAACAGCGGGCCAACTTCCTGGTAGCCAGGGAAAGTCAACCCCCTGTGTGGGCTGGCAGCCAACTTTTATAGCCTCAAGAAAAAGAAAAATCCTGCGAGCAGGATGGCATTAGGTGATTGGTCGGGAAGCTACAAGGTTACTACATGGTGAATATTTTACCTAATATGGAATGGGGGGGGCTGTCCGGTTTAGATTAGGAGAGGCCATGGCAACAGTTGCTCTGGGGGCTCGGTTAATTCCAGAGTTTTTGTCCTGTGTCCTTGATGTAGCGTGTCCTTGATGTAGGGCTCCACAGGGGGTGCCAAGGTGGGGACTGAAATTTTAAATAGGAGGGTCAAGGAAACCTCTAATAAATCTCTTGAATACATGTCTTTTGCTGCAGACGACCTCCTTCAGAAAATGAGGAACTTCCATTTACCACATGTGCCTTGGCATAGATAAATTCTAGGGGGTAGCATTGTGATCCACACTTCTGATAAGAATAATGAGGGCGAGTGGGGAAGTAATGTTTTCAAATTCACATACTACCTGTACAGGATAGCAGTCCCTAGTAATGGAAGTATTATTCCTTCCTTGGTTCCAGATCTGTACAATAGGGTTCCCAAGCAAGAAAGTTCCTATTTTTGATGGGTTATGAGTAGTATACAGTGAACTAATGCGCATCATGTATGAAGCACTAAGCCTAGCACAAAGTAAGCAATCAATAAATGTTTCTGAATATTAATAATCATTTTAAGTTTCAATCTCCAAAAGATCCCAGGAAATCAATATTGAGAATTAGGGTCCTTTATTAGGGGATGTCAGCAGAGAACACAGGAGATAGGAACAAGTCTTAGGGGCTTGAGAGTGGGCTTGGAGTAGAGGAGCCCATCCTGGTCCTCAGGCCTGTGCAGAAGTTGTCAGGGGGTACCCAGGGGTATGGTGAAGGAGAGGTAGTCCCCAAGGGCGCCCCAACGTGGCCGGTAGATCTGGAAGATAGTGATCCAAGTGGTGAGTACAATCACCCAGAAGAGGAAGCCCACAGCTGAGCGCCAGACATCTGTAAGAGGGAACAGGAGGGGAAAGGTTGGCCACCGCCTGCTCTCTGGTCTCCCCGAGACCGGCCCTCTCTTCTCTTCCACAGAGTCCCAGAATTCTGAAACCTCCATTGTCCCTTCCCACCAAGGCTCCCAGAGTCCCCCTCCCCACACCCGATGGCCTCCCTTCATCTGTGCCCTGGACTCACAGCCTTTGATTTGGCTCTGTTCTGTGTATGCCGGGACAAGGAAGGCCTCTCGGAAGAACCAGAAGATGTTGACCAACCAGAGAAAAGGCAGGAAAGCAAACCCACCTAAAGAGAAGAAAATAAACTGGGACTTAAGGCAATGAGGATCTTCCCAACACCCACGTAGATGACCAATTTGGAAGGTCCTCTCCCATACCCAAATTCAAATGGAGATCTCTGCTATCAGGGATTCAAGAATCTTGACTCCTCCCCGGGATCCAGGAATCTGAGTCCTCAACCATCTTTTCGGCAGGACCAGGAGACCAGGCCCCCAACTCCCCTCCTCTCTTGGGACCCAGAAATTGAGGCCCCAGTCTCCTCCTTCCTCAGGACCCAGGCCCTTCCTCTCTTGGGACCCAGGAGTCGGCGTTCCCAGCCACTTCATCCTCTAGACCCAAGAACCCAGGACCGCAGACCCTCTTCCGCCAGGCGCTCTAGTCCCATCCCCTCTCTTCTCCGGGGACCCTAAGATATCAGCCCTTACCCAGGTAGTACTTCCGGCACAGGTTCAACTTCTCCTCGTTGGACACCCGCTCCAAGTTCATAGTTGCGCTGGGGCCGGGTCTTCCGAGGGTCTTCAGGGCAAGACCCAAGCCCTGACCCTAAGTGACAGATGCAAGGATCACAAACAACCACGCCCCTATTACGACAAAAGGGAGAGAAATTGAAGGGTGGGTTTTCTGAAAGAAGGGTACCCCCGCCCCCACCAGCAAGCTGACTGGGTTGAGACGCTCTTTCTATTTATTGGGGTACGGAGACGACCCCTTAACTCACCAGTGGAGTCTTACTTCCTCCTGTTTGGACCCCTTTGCCACTTTCAACTACGGACTTTTGCGCGAGATGCCGCAAGTATCTCTGGACCTTGTAGTCTTTTCGGTCAGGCGACGCTGCACGCATGCGCTTTCAGGAAACTCCAGTGGGTGAGTCCGTGGGGAGGGTGCGAGCCTCCATCACGCAAGCGCACTAGGGAGTTTCTGAGTGCCCGGAGGCCGCGAAGAACTACATTTCCCAATGCCCTTAAGCAACGGAAGTGACGTAATAGCCGACATAGTTGGAGGGTTCGGGTAAAAATGGCCGAATATTTAGCTTCGATATTCGGGACTGAGAAGGACAAGTGAGAACGGGCGCAGGGAGTGGCCCCTCGGGAGCCCAAGGACGAGGCACTTGGTTCCCTGGTGGCTGGGCGGCGTGGGGCGGTGTTTCTGGGGTGTCCGGCTCCCCGGCCCTCGGTTCACCTCTGTCTCTGCACCTCTTCCAGGGTTAACTGCTCTTTTTACTTTAAGATCGGGGCCTGCCGGCACGGGGACAGGTGCTCCCGGCTTCACAACAAACCGACTTTCAGCCAGGTGAGACCCGGCATGGAGCCTGGGGGGTTAACTTCCTGTCCATTTCCCTTCTGTTGTCCACCATCACGAGGTCCCGCCTTTTCCGGATTTCTAGGGCCCACCCTACCGCCCGGCGTTTTTCTTGTCGGAGCTCTGCAGGTTCCTCTCCCAACCTTCAGGCCCTTCTCCCAGGAACTTGGCCACGCCCCCGTACGTAAAGACCATACCCCTGGGCTGCCCCTCACTGCTAGGTACCCCCTCTTCTGGTTTTCTGAGGGACAGGCGTTGCTGATGCACTCAAGATGCTTATGCTTTTTCTCTGGTGCAAGGTCTCACGCCCAACCTTCATACCCAATCCCTTTGCATATAGCGCCGCCTTCTGAGCTCAGGCCCCGCCCCCTTTAAATTCTGTTCAGACCACAGTGCTGCTCAACCTGTACCGGAATCCACAGAACACCGCCCAAACCGCAGACGGATCGCACTGTGAGTGAGGGACCTGTCTTGGGGGCTGGGCGGACAGCTCCCAGCAGGCCACGCCCTGATTCCACCCTGCCCCCCTCCACCAGGTCACGTGAGCGACGTGGAGGTGCAAGAACACTATGATAACTTTTTCGAGGTGAGGGTTGGCAGGGGTGGGTTCAGTTTCCTGTGGGCCAGCAGCTCAGCTGAGTTCCTCGTGGTCTTCCACAGGAAGTGTTCACGGAACTGCAGGAGAAGTACGGGGAGATTGAAGAGATGAATGTGTGCGACAACCTGGGGGATCACCTCGTGGGCAATGTTTATGTCAAGGTGCCTGCTGTCTCCCCATTAGAGCCTAGAGGTGGAGGCATTTCAATGCCTAACGGCCACCGCTGAAGCCTCACAGCTTGAGGTCCATCACTAAATCCACTCCAGACCCTGAGCTGCTAGCCAGTCCCCTGATTTCTGAGTTTGATTGCTCACCCTGACCGACTTTCCCTCAGTTTCGGCGCGAGGAGGATGCAGAGCGGGCAGTGGCTGAACTCAATAACCGCTGGTTCAACGGGCAGGCTGTGCATGCCGAGCTGTCTCCCGTCACTGACTTCCGGGAATCGTGCTGTCGGCAGTATGAGATGGGGTATGGTAGTGCAGGGGTGGGATGGGCACCTGGAGTCCCAGACTTCTGTGTATGAGTTGAGGGGGCTGTCAGTGACAATGGCCTCATCCGTGCATCCATGCTTTACCCAGGGAATGTACCCGGGGTGGTTTCTGCAACTTCATGCACCTGCGACCTATCTCCCGCAACCTCCGGCGGCAGCTCTATGGGCGGGGACCCAGGCGCAGGTACCTCAGGACCAGCCTGCCAAGACTTCTCGTATCCTAAGGCCCCTGTATCCTGAGATGAATCTGATCCTGTGCCCCAATAAGTGTCTCAAGCCTTTTGTGCCCTAAGACTAGCCCTGAGCCCCATCTGAAGACCAGCACCTAAGTCCCAACCCCCAAACCAGCCTGAACCCCAAACCCAAGTCCATCCTGGATCTCCAATCCTGAGGTTAGCCCCTGTGCACCTATCCTGAGGCCACCCGCAGGAACTCTACTTACTTCATCAACTGCCATGCCTTATCCCAGAGCAGAGAGGCAGAACTGGGGGATCTGCACACCATTCCCATGGCTCTAACCCTCCTCTCTCCTGTCCCCAGGTCACCCCCAAGGCCCCATACTGGCCACCGTCCCCGAGAAAGAAATCGACGACGGTCCCCAGACCACCGGCATGGCCGTTTCTGAGATGCTGACCTCCTTGCCCTCCACCCCTGGCAGGCACATATGTTCCTGGCCAGGGCCGCTCCTCAAAGCCCCCTTAACTCCCTAGTGCCATCTTTTCCAGGCTCCGGGTCTCCATGATGTAATACCTTCAACACAGGGACCTTCTATCACCCCACCCCTAATAAAGTTCTGTATTGCGGGTTTAGAGCTGCGTTGTTAGCTTCAGCCTGGCTGTAGGCTGGTTTCCTTCCACCCCCACATCTGCTGATGAAAAGGGGAAGTAGGGCTGGGCTCTGGCCACAACCTCAGCCAAGAAACTTCCAACAACAGGTGGGAAAGCAGCATGCCCAGGGTCCTAGAAACCCCCAAGTGGGACTGGTTGGGTGGGGCTGTCTTTGTGCTGAAACTTCAGCACGTCCATCAGAGGATTCTCAAGGGGGAGATGCTTGGTTGTGGCAGGTCGGAGGATTCCCAGTCTGGAGGAGATTGGGGTTAGGAGCTAAGGTAAGATTGCTGGGAGTTGGGTGGGAGTCTCCAGTGGGTGATGGCTGGGTCCTCCATGCCCACTGCCCTGAGATGGGAATAGGTAGTACCTAATACTTAAGCTTACACTATGCCAGGTGCCAGGTGTTCTAAATGCTTTGCTTCCAGTAATGGTTTTACTTCTCCACAATAACCTTCTAAGACAGGTACTATTATACCATTTTACAGATGGGGAAAGAGGGGGCAAGAAGATGGCAGAGATGGGATATAAATCCACGCAGTCCGGCTCCAGAGTCCTAGCTGCAGCCATCTTGAGGCCTTGTGGCCGCTCTGTTAACAGGCCAGGAGCTGGTCTGGGGCTGGAGAGTAGATTCCTGGCTTCCAAAGGGGACTGCGGATCCTATGCCCCCACATCCACTGCTTCCTTCTTCTGCCCCGGTTTCCTGGCAAGTGCAGCAGAGGTGCTGTGGCAGGAAGTCCTGTGGTCATGGCCCCCCAGAAGGCAGGCTCCGCCAGGATGGGGCCCCTATGCCTCCTCCTGACTGCTGTGCTGCTCCTGGCCCAGGCGGCGCCGAGGAAGGCCTCTCAGCACTGCAGCCGCCTCGAGTACTGGAACCCTGACGACCTGTGCTGTGTGGCAGCTGCCTGCAGCGCTTCGGGCCGCCGCCTGCTCGGGTAAGGAGCCGGGACTGGGCGTTTGCATATGTTCAGGCGGAGTTAAGGGGTGATAGGGAAGGGGGAAGGGGCGAGGTCTGTGGGGTATGGCCCGTGAGGCTTGCTTCGGGGTGGGGGCAGTGGGCCGTACGTAGACAAAGTGGGGATGGGGGGCTGAGCCTGCGAAGAAAGGGACAGTGTAAGCTAAGACGGTCATGGTTAAGGGGTGTGGCCGGTTAGACAGGCAGGAACCGAGAGGCGAGGAAGAGGTGGGCGGGGGAATGAAAGGGGCGGGGCCTGTGTAGAGAAGGTTGGGAGACTGGCAGGGCTAGTGTGCGGGGCGGGGTGAGGGGGGATAGAGAGATGGGCACGTCCGCTGATAGGTTGGGTGAGTACAGTGCAAGGGGCGGGGACTGCTGGGATAGGACAAAGGGGAAAGCACGTAGCTAGCGCAGAGGAGGCAGGTTTGGCGGTTGCACGTGAGACGCTGTGTCCCACCAGACTGAATTTTCGGAAAACTGCGGGCCCGATGATGCGGGCAATCACGTAACGCACCGGCCCCCACTTCCTTGGGGAGCCGCGGCGGGACCCGGAGGCGCGGCAGACAGGTGCTGGTTGGGCTCCGGAGAGCCTGGGCAAGGTGCCGCCCGCCAGAGTGGGGCGGGGGCGGGGGAGGGGAGCGTGGCTTGGGGTCGGATGGGCGGCGTCTGTATCAAGGGAAGGGAGGGTGTAACCTAACTGAGGAGGACAGGGATGGGGGCACAGTATTAATAGTATCGGGGGTTAAAGGAGTCGGGGTGGGGGGGGGGGGG